CTTTTTCACTCGCCCAACAACTGATTTTCACTATCACCGTCTGAGACGTTTCTGACCGTGTTGAGGGTAGATGCAAATAATAAGAAAATAATAATTATAATAATAATAATAATAATAATAATAATAATAATGATAGTGACGAGCACTCACCGTCTTCTCGACTTCTCTTCTCTCACACGTACTATCCTCAACACTCTCTCCACAACTCTCCCACTCTATCTTCCTTTCTCTCTCTCTCACTGCCTCTCCCACTTGCTTGTTAACTCTCTTCTCTCTCACTCTCTTCACTCTCTCTTTCGCTCTGACTCCCGTTGCCACACGGTCGTCCCCCCCTCTTTTTCTCTCACTCACACACTCACCCGAATACTCACCATAGGTGCCTCCTCCATGTTGATCGATGCAGGCAGAGAGTTCTCACGTCGGCCATAACCGCCTCAAGATCAGCCACGGGATGTCATAGTTCATCTCGCTATGTCACTGCACNTGTTGATCGATGCAGGCAGAGAGTTCTCACGTCGGCCATAACCGCCTCAAGATCAGCCACGGGATGTCATAGTTCATCTCGCTATGTCACTGCACACACCTCGCCACCTCCATCCCTTCCTTCAATCGGATCATGTGCTAGCGCGCTGCGCTCGCCTGGTACGCAGTCCCTTCCCCCTGTCAACAACATGTCCCCGTACACCCCTCACACGGGCGGAGTAACCGCCGGAGCGCCGATTCTGCTCGTGCTTGCTGTCGCGGGTACACCTTGCTCGCTCTTCGTTTTCCTCCCCTGGTTTCTCAGCCGCCCCAGCTATATCCACGTAGAGTCCCCTCGTAGGCTCAACACCACTGGTTCTATTCGAGGCAAAACGGTGACTGAGTCTTCAGGCCCCGACTAGGCAAAAAAAAAAAAAAAAAGGCCCGGGGCAGTGGACCCAGTACTTCATCTGTGGTGGTGGCAAGGACCCTTAGACCAGGGGTCATTTGGCGATAGGGCCAGCACCAAATAGCCCTATCTGAAGGCTCGATAGCCGATGCAAGCCAGAAACAACACAGCAGCGTTTATCATACCATTCCCGAACCAGGGAATTACCAGTCTGAACCGTGGCGGTCCGTACCATACCATCACCGAACCTGGAAACAACACAGTGGCGTGCGCCATACCGTTCCCGAACCAGGGATTTACCAGTCTAAGCTGTAGCAGGCTGTGTCGTCACCGTACAGCACACTGTATCGTTACCGCACCAATGCAGAGCCTAAAGTAATCGCTTGGAGATGCTGTAACCCATATCGTGTCGATGCCGATACAAGACCGTGCCTGAAAACGATGCAGTGGCGTGTACCACGCCAATGCCGAACCAATACCGTTCCTGAAACATGTCGAACATGGCAAGACGTAGCGGCGCGGCAATAGTACCAACCCTGAAGTAAGCCGCCGCAATGGTCCCGGACCTGAAAATGAGTCACTGCAGAGGTTCCGAACTTGAAATAAATCTCCGTGAGGGCCCTGAACCTGAAACGAAACACCGCGATGCCACCGAACCTGACCGGACCCGAAATCTAGTACCGGGCTGCTGCGCCACGCGGATGCCGAACCCGTACAACCATGCCATGATAATTCCATACCTATCACAAACCTGATACAGAATGCCGCAACGTTTCCGGACCTGAAAACAAACTGCCGCCAGGGTTCCAAACCTGGAATAACTATCGTAGCGGCCCCGGTCCTGAGAATAAATCACCGCAGCTGTCCCAAGCCTGAAAATAAGTCACCGTAGTGAAACAACTGTCACCGGGCCCATACTGAACCTGAAGCGCGTTGGAAACCGTAGGACGTAACCATTCCGTAACAACCCCCGTATCCGTACCGAACCAAACACCATACTGTCGACCCAAGGTAGCACCACCCCATGCTGTCCATGCGACTCCCGTTCTCAGAACATCCCAACTGCGGTAATGTTAGTAATCAAGCAAACCAGGGAAAGCGACGCAGGGAACCTCGACCATGGGCAGTAGTGAAAACTT